ACTTTCACTTCCACAGAAATTCAGGCTCAACCTGGCCATGGGAGTAAGCCTTGAGTCGTTTAGCTTATGACACTCTGGGTGTCTCTTGCCAGTCTGACCACAGCTCCCTGTCCTTGAATGTCTCCTGTGGTTGTTCCTCAGCCAGTCACTGTGGGAGTTTAGCACTGGAAGCCCTGAGATGAAGACAACCCTGGGCTGCTCTGAGTCCCAGGTTAAGTTGGCTCCTCCCTAAAATGGCATCTGGCCAGGCACCCTCTCCAGGGGATATGGCAGAGGCTTGGACTGGAGTCTCTCACCAGCTGTTGTAGTGCACATGGGATCCACTGCTCCATTCCACTGGTGCGTTTCTCCCTGAAGGCCTCTGGAGTCGCCCGCTTTTCACGGCGTCTCTGTAGATTTGATCTTTTTTCTCTTACCATGAGCCAGGAGCTGGGGAAAAGGTGGAGATTGCCCCTTCCCTTTTCTGCACTGTGGTTTGACTCTTCAGTTTTTCTGTTGGCTCCAGTTTTCCCTTCAGGTTCTTCCTGGGTCCCAGGGATTCACTTCCTTCCTTCTTTTCTTCCCCAGGTTGTTATTTTCCAGTGTCTGAATTCTGAATCTTGGAGAGGCTGATTTATTGCTGCTTACCACTCCTCCATCTTCCCAGAGCCTTTTATTCTTTCAAGTGTTTTTGCTCTTACCTTGCCAGGCCTTACATCCTAAGTCATCTCAGCACCTTTCTGGAGTTCATAAGGTACAGAAAACAGATCTGATGTTCATTGAGACCCTTTAGAATGACGTGAACCCTCCTCAGTGAGAGGCCAGAGGGGTACCTGGCATTGGCGAGTGGAGACCAGAGTATTGTATGAACTTTGCCCCATCTGCTGCTCCCATTGTTCATACTGCTGTTTCCTCTATCAGCAGTGGGGGTGGCAAAGTCCTCATCTAGCCTGAGGTGACCTGGAGAGAGTCTACCCCTCCATTCCTGTGGTGTCTCTTTGCTGAAGTAATGTACTGATTTCCCAGGAGAAGCTGGCCGCCCTACCTTGCAGTGTATGCAGTGGTTAATTACATTTTTCTTTTAATTGAGGCCTCATCCCAAACCACCTCTGCTGCCTCCTGACAGACTTTCTTGGTTTCTCTCTGGCTGTGGCTGTTTTAAAAGTTTTTATTCTTATCAGTGGGTGTTACATAGTGATTATATTCACTGTGGGGAGGTGGTACCTGGACTCTGACTGTGCCTGAGGATGGAAGCAAGGCCGGTGGATGGCTTGTCTCCAAACTTATGCAGGCACTGGTTGTTTCTAACTCCACATCCAAGGCTCCTGTATAGTTAGCTTTCCTGGAAGGTTAAGGTGAAAGATATTTGTCTTGTATTTCTACCTGTCTTCTGAGGGATTACAGAGAATGAAGGTGGAGCTGGATTAGAAATTAGCGTCTACTTCTAGATGATGGTCTCTGATTTTTCCCAGCAGATTTTTTTTCTTTTTTTTCTTTTTTTTTTTTTTTTGTACCAGGGATTGAACTCAGGACCTTGTACTTGCGAGGCAGACAGCAGAACCACTGAGGTAAATCCCCGGCCAGCCCAGCACATTTTTATGCAGAGGATCAAATTCCAGTTCTTGGCTAGAACACATTTTCAAATCCAGGTATAAGCACAGTAGTTCTGAATGAGGACTATGAGTCAAGTGGTTTGGGTTTAGCTGTTGGGAATGCAGTTGTACTTTGAATAAACCTACTTTTCTAAGCCTTGGATTCCTCATCTGTAAAATAGGGATGGTCATGACTACTTCCTTGGCTTGTTGGGAAAATGAAATGAATTATTACAAATAAAATGCTTGTTATAGCTTGTGTCTAGATGTCCTCCCAAAGCCTCATGTGGCCATAGCTGGGGTTTTTCAGAGGTGGCTGGATCTAGAGTGTGTGATGCTGGGATTAAGGTTATGTGATTACTAAATTAGTCCACTGATTGGTTTGGTATAAGCATGGATGTGAGTGCTACCTGCCCAGGTAGTCTGGATAGGATATAAGGGACAGAAAGAGGGCTTCTGCCATCGCTTGTTGCTTGCTGCTTTTGCTGCCTTCTGCCTGCCATGAACTGTTTCTCCTCTGTGATGCCCCTCTGCCATGTCTGACCTTGGAACCAGCTGATTATGAACTGAAACATCTACAAATCCTGAGCCAAAATAAAACTCCTTTAAGTTTGGGCGTTGGGTATTTTGTCTCAGTAATGAGAAAAGTAACAATACAGGAACATACAGGAAATTGTCAGGAAACAGCTTTGTTTTAGTTTTTGAATTCTGCTACTAATCCATTGTTTTTCATTGGTTGGTTTAAGTTTTGGCTTTTAATAGCTTTCCTCTTGGTGCTAATATATTAAGGGGGGGGGACTCCTCAGGAAATAGCTGAAATCACTTGTGTGATGATCAAATAAGCTTAGACCTTTTTGGTATCAAGATGTAATCTGCGTACCACACAATGGACACAGGTCTTCAGTTTGTGTTTCAGTGGGTGTTGTAAGCACCCATGCGAACACCTTCTCGGTCAAGACCAGAAAGTTTCTGTCACCCCAGAAAGTTCCCTGCTGCTCCTCTTTTCTAATTTCTGTCTCCCATAGGTTAGTGGTGCTTTAATAAATTGATTTTTTTTCTTTTAAACTGGGTTTTGCCTTGTTGCCCAGGCTGGGCTTGAACTCATGCATGCAAGTGATTCTGCTACCTCATTCTCCCAAGTAGCTGGGACTACAGGAGACAGGGATACATACTGTCTGTCTCTGTCTCTATCTCTCTCTGTCTCTCTCATACTGGCTATTGAACACAAGTCCTCAAGGATGCTAGGCAACTGCTCTATCACTGAGTTACATCCCTAGCCCTTTTTATTTTTTATTTATTTTTTATTATTTTGGTACTGGGGATCGAACTTGGGTCCTTGCACTTGCGCAGCAGGTGGCGAAACCACTGAGCTAAATCCCTGGCCCTATTTTTTATTTTGAAACAGGATCTTGCTACTTTGCCCAGGCTAGCCTTGAACTTGTAGCCTTCCTGCCTCAACCTCCTCCCCAGTAGCTGGGTTTTCGGGTGTGCACCCCTGTTAGTAAATCTGTATTTTATGTACAAATTTTATAGAGGGCTTAGAGAGCACCTTCAGAGTTGCTTGTCTGTCTGACCACTGCCTGTGAATTCTTTACAAGCTCAAGACATCCCCAGTCCCCTTCCCATCAAAGCTATTCCTCAGTATTTGTGGATGTGAAGGACCTCCTAGAGTGAACAGTTGGAATCTATTTCTGGACTACATTTGGATCTCTTTGTAAAGCAATTTCTAGCCTGGGGGTAGTGCATAGGATTAATGAGAACTGTGTGTGTGTGTGCGTGTGTGCGTGTGTATAGCTGGTCCGATAACTTAGTGCTATTTATTTGCAGCATGGAGGTTAGTGAGCGGATCCAATCTTTGTATGATCATGCACTTTCCGTTAATATCAGTGGGATTTAGCCAGGCCCAGTGCAGGGAGAAACAGAAACTGAAACTTTTTGTGTGTGTGTGGGTCCTTGCCCTTGCGAGGCAGGCGGCAGAACCACTGGGCTAAATCCCCAGCCCAGAAACTGAAACATATGGAAAAACAAACAACAGCAAAAACCCAGGTTCTGACTTAGAACAACAAGATGGCAGCCTGGGGTGAGGAGCCCAGCCTGGGCCTGAGCTTCCTCCTCATGCTCTCTCCCCGTTCTGTGTGGTCTGGCCAGGACTTCACTGTGAACGCACCCCTTTCCTTAGGCTGGAGCGTGTGCTTTACATCTGATTGGAAACAGGCGTGATCCTAGCAGCACATCTCTGGTTAGGTTTACATAAAAGATTTAAAGTCCTTTGAATTGAAATTAATGTATTTCATGGGATAAGCATTATGAAAATGAAATTCTCAAGGAAAGCCCCGCTAGCCCTATGGCAATTATGCCATCTGTATTTTTTTTTGTTTGTTTTTGGCACTAGGGAATCAAACTCAGGTCCTTGCGCTTGCGAGGCAGGCACCCATCTGTATTTTAAAAAAGAATTGGCAAGCTTTGAAAGAGGGCAGAGGGAAGCAGTGGCAAATGCGAACAGTGTCAGAGTATAAGAAAATGAGCTTTTGCCTGCATTGGTACAGGGGAGTCTAAATTGTAATAGAGCTTTGCTGTGGGTAGCTCCCCACACCCCTGCAGATGTGATGAGTTGGGGCGCTGGACCTAGGGGAAGGTTTTAATTTGTATTAATTGGCACTTCTATAACCAGTGCTATTCTGTGGTTTCTTTATGAAACATTACTGATAAGGCTAAAGTGCCTTCAGTTCCTCCGTAATCCGCCGTCCTCCCACAGGCATCGAGGCAGTAGTTGAGGACTGGGAAACATTTAGCAGTGCATGCTGTCCTTGTGGTTTACATGAGCAGTGTCATACTTTGTTGTGTGTGTGTGTGTGTGTGTGTGTGTGTGTGTACCCAAGGCCTTGGCACTGAGCTACATCCCCAGCCCGATTTCTTATTTTGAGACAGTGTCTGATTAAGTTGCCTGGTCTGGGCCTGAACGTGTGTGCTCAGCCGACGGGAGTGCTGGGATGGCAGGCGTGTGCCCGTGTGTTTCGAAAGGAAAGGGTGATGTCCCTTGTGAGGTATCAGAACCATGGATGGGTCTTACATAGCTGCAGCCCAGCGGTCCTTCCCATCGGCATTGTCTCCCCAGGTTTCTTTAGATGCAGAACAATGTGGCAGAGAAGAGTCGGAGTTGCTGCAGTTAGATCCCTGCTGATGACCTGGTGGCTTTATGTGCAGCCCGGGGATATGAGCAGCACAGTCAGCAGTCACTGTCCATTGCCTGTGGGTGTTTCTGGGCCCCTCGCCCACGTGTCCTCTGCAGAGGTGACAGTGGATGGACTGGCTGTGCATGTCAGCGAGTGCCTGTCCCTTAGAGAGGCCTGGAGCAGGTTGCTGGGCTGGAGCTGGTACTGTGCACAGCTGGTTTCAGCAGGGCTCACCCTCTGTCCTGTCTCTCCGCAGGGCTTCGTGCTAGCTGTCACCGTCATCCGTGAGGCGGTGGAGGAGATCCGATGCTACGTGCGGGACAAGGAAGTCAACTCGCAGGTCTACAGCCGGCTCACAGCAAGAGGTCAGCCTCCTGGCTCCGGGGCCATGGGGTTGCAGCTCAATCACAGGCCGCTGACAGTTAGAGGAGCAGAGTTCAAGGCCCAGGCTGTGGGTGTGCCACGTGGTGCGACAGCCACTCTGTAGCTTGGGGACCAGGAGGCCTCAGTGTGCCTGGGCCTGGCAGGACCAGGTAGTGTCTCTGGGCTCAGGCTGCCTGTGCTGGCCACTGAGATTCTGGTCAGATAACTTGCCTGTCATGCCCTCCATTGGAATTAAATTCTCTGCCCTCTCTCACCTCTCCTTTTCCCCCTGCTGGCCAAGAAGGACAGTGGGGCCCTGAACAGTCCTGAAGGACAAACAGCATTCAGAAATAATCTTTCCGCAGGGATTACTTTACCCGTCACATACTGCAGCATTACTTTCTGCAGATGCTGCATCTGTGAGGATGCCTTTGAAGGCGTCCTGTAAATCCCACATTGAAGCTTTGTGAGTGCTGCTTAGTCTGATTCTCGGAGCAGAGACCAGATAGTCCTTCATCCTCACGCATTTTAAATGGCAGAACTTTAAAAACCCACACAGATACATCCTTGGAGAAGCCACGAAACCACCCAGCTAATGCTGGCTTCAGTTTCCAACTACAATAGAGTTAAGTTTGCATTTGGAACAGAGAACGCTGCATAAAGTTGACCAATCTGTCCAGAGAAAGAGGCACTCGTGATTGTCCTCCTAAGATTACTAACCCCACGTGGGGATTAATACTGTTTTAGGAGAGGCCCAGGGGAATTAAAACTATGCCTTGCTTTCAGGAAATTGAGAATTCTGGAAGAGATAAGATAGAGGGGTGCCCAAGGGACTTAGCACCTGAGCTGGTGTGCGTTAAGGGCTTTAGCTTCTAAACAGGCTGTCTGTCTGTCCAGGGTTTTAAGGTTCAGAGTAGAATATCCTTCCAGGAAAAAATTTAGGATTCTATATTTGGGCCTCAAAAACACAGTTGAAATTTAGTGCACGTGATCTACTTTTATGGTTGGTGGTCTTAAAAAATTCCGTTTCTTGGACAAGGTGAAATTTCTCGTTGGTGTGCAAATGGTTTACTGATGCAAAACTACTGTATTTAAGCATTGTGCCTTAAAGAAAAAAAAAAGCCAGTGTAACCTTTGCAGAGATAGGTGGCTTGGGCTGTCTGTGTGGGGAGTCGGAAGATCCCTCTGGAGGGTGCTTTTTGTGGTGGTGTGTATTAAATCCTCTCTTAATAACATATTCTTACTATAACCTCTAAAATGCTTGGCAACCAACAAAAGGCTCATCAGAGAGGGTAGGGTGGAGCTCTTCAGAGCTCAAGAAAAAGGGCCTTCGATTCTATTCATCCGTCCATCCGGGCCCCCACCCTTCTGTGGTTCTTTTCATATTGCAATGGCTTTTCCCGGGATGATTTTTCAGCCCTCCCCTGCCATCCCTTCTCTGGCTCCTGCCTTAACTTGGCTCGGTTCTTGAAAAGATGCTGAGGAGAATTGGCAGATGGCTCTAGTATTAAAAACTTGTCTTCCTTTGTTGGTCACCTTTTGTGGCCCGTGATCCCTATTGTCATGCCGATGCAACAGTAGAGGGAAACAACACAGTTCTGAATATTAAACCAGGCCCTCGCTTTGCAGTTTGTCTTGAAAGACCAACAAAACACTGCAGAAACTGTCAGCCCAGAAAATGATGGAGGTGGCTCAGTTATTTGATACACTGTGGTGGCGAGAGAGCTGCAGTAACAAACCAGACTGAGCATTGCAGGGAGAGGAAGAAAAAGAAAGCCTTTTTGACCTTACTGTTGAATTAATGTTTGCTTGAGGAGAGCTTTCCACCAACAGCCTCATTTAGTAAGTTCTGAAGCAAAATGAAACAACTATGTCTGTGTATTCTAGAAGGTCACTTTTCCTTTTTATAACATAAAATCTTAGTGTGTACATTTAACCACTCTGTTGGGAGTTTAAGTTTTTTCAGAAACAAAATACCTTGACCAGTAGATCACAAGCCATGATATTTACCTAAATTCTACATCATTTCCTGATGAATAGTAGCGGTACTTGTACTCATACAGTTTTTTTTTTTTTGGTTTCTTTTGGTGTCAGGGATTGAACTCAGGACCTTGCGCTTGTGAGGCAGGCACGGCGCCACTGAGCTAAATCCCTGGCTCTTTTATAAGTTTGGTAATAATTTCCAACTAGCAAAAAAGTTTCAAAAATCATACCAGGAGCTCCTTAAAAAAAGAAAAAAGGAACCCAAACCCCAACAAACCTTTCTTCCAGATGGACCAGTTGTTCACATTGAGGACATGACTTTTAAGTACTCTCCTCTCCATACACACACACACACACACACACACACACACGCCCTCTATCACAGTGTCATTACAAAACTAAGTTGCAGATATAATTTCTTTCTTTCTTTTTTTCCCCTCTTTAGTACTGGGGGTTGATCCCAGAGGCACCTTACCACTGAGCTACACCTCCAGCTCTTTCTATTTTAGTTTTTGAGGCAGGATCTTGCTGTTACCCAAGTTGGTCTTGAATTTACCTTTAGTAAAAAGTGAAAGATTTATACATTCTTAAGAGAAACCAGAGTATTTGGCCTTGAATTTATACTCCTGCCTCAGCCCTTCTAGTAGCTGGGATTATAGGCATGTGCCATGGTGCCTGGCTTGACATAGTTCCTTTTTATCCCTAAACACTTCAGTGTTTCATTCTAATAGAACATTTCTCTTACATAACAGTGCAGTTATCAACATCAAGAAGTTTCACACCAGTCCAGTACTGTTGTGCTAATTTACAGTCCTTATGCTTTGCCATTTGTCCTGAAAGCAGCCTCTGTGGCTTTTTACCTGGCCCAGAACCAGTCCAGGTCTGCCGGCTGTGTTTAGCCATCCTGCTCTGTCGATCTCCCCTAACCTGGCACAGCTTCTGGCATAATTGTCTTGCCTGACATTGAAACTGACATTTTTGAAGAGGACTTGCTGGCCAGTCACTTTGTAATTTGTCCCCTGATTTGTGTTTATCTGACGTTGCCTCAAAATTTGATTTACAGTGTGCATTTTGGGTAAGAACTAACATGTTTGAAAAAAAAAAAAAGCCAGCGATATAGATTCTTGTTGAGATATGGCCAAAGTTTTAAGGGCTTTAACTTAATCAGTTTGCAGACATTTCAAACTTATTCTGAGAAAACGATCTGACTTTAAACAGCTGAACTAACAGCTTGGCTAATGAGGAACTCACCATTGGGAGGGAAAAGTGGACGACAGGTTGTTTGTTTTCCCCTGGGATTGAACCCAGGGCCTCACATGCTGTGCATGGTCTCTACCACTGAGCCACACAGCCAGCCTGTACCAGAGTTTCTTTTAACTCTGTGGCTTCCAACATTTTGGATCGTCTTATTTTGTTCAAGTTGTATTTAAAACAACACAATAATTGAATTAATTTTTAATGCAGCTTTCATAAGAAATATTTGAAGTTTTTTGGTTTTTTTTTTGAGACAGGTCTCACTGTGTAGCTCAGACTGGCCTCGAACTCACTACGTAGCCCAGGCTGACCTCGAACTCACTGTGTAGCCCAGGCTGGCCTCAAACTCATGACCATACTCCTGCCTCAGCCTCCTGAGTGCTGGGATCACAGGTGTGCACCACCACACCTGGCTGTTTTGAAGTTTTGTGATAATAAACTTAGGGATCCACATGGAAATTTTATCATTCTTTAAAGAAACATTTGGGGCTCCATCATGTGCCACGTACATGGTAGATTTGATTTCTGCACTACCAAGATAAACTTGGGGGTATGGGGCTTCGTGGAAGTCAGGAACCGGCAAGACATCCCAGCCTGCAAGCAATGATAGGGGACAGTCACCAGTGGTCACACTAGCGTGGCATGAGTCTGGAGGCCTTCGGTAGCACTTCCCTTTCTTGACACCGAGTTCCTTCTTCTGAGCATAGTCCTGGCAGCTGAGAGTAGCGGTTCCCAGCTTGTGCTCTGCCTGAGCTCAAGACTCCTGTCTGCACCTGCCCTGCCATGTGGGCAGGTCCCGTGACCTTCTAGTGCATCTCGGGTCCTAAAGCACCCACCTTGGAGAGCTGCTGGAAATGGGCTTCTGGGATGGAGAGGACTTAGCACAGAGATGCCGGGATGAGGAAGGGCTGGTGCTGATGGAGGGGTAGGCTGGGGATTAGGGGGCCCATCAGAGAGGAGCTCACGATGTCTTTCCAGAAGAGGTGACCATCAGTTCTGAATCTTGCAGGAAGTAAGAGAGCGTGGTGTCCAGTGCAAAACCACCCTGTGGTGCCTGTGCCCAAACATTATTAAGCATCTCATGGCCAGTCACAGTGGCGCTGCTGGGTGGGTGGAGAGTGAATTTCAAGCTGGTGACTGCAGAGCACTAGACCAGGTATGGGGCCTTCTGAACGCGAGGTGCCTGCCACTGCTGGGAGGAACAGCCCTGCAGCCTGCCCTGGTAAGAGCAAAACCCCGGCTTGCTTCGGCTGGGAGCATAGGCTCAGGACCCAGGTTCGGCTGCGCCTTGTTCTTCCCACTTGGGCTGTGATTCCTGAGCCTCCCTCTCCTGGGAAAAAGGAAGAAAAGAGCAGGAAGCCAGCCTGGATCCAAGGCTCCATGAAGGTTGATTCTGTGATCCAGAAATTCCCAGACAAGGTATGCCAGGGAGAGAAAGTGGCACTGGAGCTGGTTTTAGAAATGCTGCTCAAATTAGGATGCAGGTAAAAAACAGTGGAGGAGGACTGCCTGCTCTAAGTAAGCTGGTTGCTCGGTACAGTCTAGTTGGTGATTTTATTTTGTTTTGAGACAGGGTCTTGCTATGTCACTCAAGCTGGCCTTGAACTCGCTGTGTAGCCCAGGCTATACTCACTATGGTTTTCCTGCCTCAGCCTCCTGAGCACTGGGATTACAGGCATGTGTTACTATGCCAGCTAGTTGATGATTTTTTTTTTTTTGGTACCGCCGATTGAACTCGGGTCCTTGTGCTTGTGCAGCAGACAGC